TATCGGTGACGACATGGAGTTGCGCTTGCTCTGAGCAATATGTCACTTTTATGTTTATGTTTGTTGATCATTTGTTTATCGGAGATTCCCACGTTTCTTTGTCTTCTTCACTTCTAGATTGATCCCAAGCATTATTCTTTTTTCATGAAATTTGAAGAAAAAATTTGGATTACGTGATAATCAGAACGAGGAATCCCATTGGGTCGGATTGAGATGCTCTGAAATGTAAAATTGTTCTTTTTGTTAGATCCCTTTCATTCCAGGGTTTTAAGATGACTTGGATGACATCCTTTTTGGAATTCCTATCAACACCAAGAATTTTCTTAAATAATTTTGCTCATTATCACTTGAAAGAAATTCCCTTCTTTATAATTTTGAGTGCTTCTTGGATTTCTTTAGTTAGTAATAACATTGTCAACACAGAGATTTTTCAGATTCCCGAGATAATTTTGCTTCCTTGAGTTCATAGATGATAGTTGAAAGTTGGATGATGATATCCCTTAACCAGAGGAATCGAATGTAATTTCGCTCTGATAGAAATAATTCCAGTTGCATTCCATCATTTTGAATCGAAACAATGCACCTGCTAAATCATTGAATGTAATTAGACCGTGGTATAGAACAGAACATCGTTCAAACTTACCATTCATTCTTTTGAGGTCGGCAAAAGCATCGTAAATGATTCTTAATTTTATTGTTGATTTGCCGATTCGGTGTTAATACTAACGCCAACCTGGATCATTTGCGATTGTCTAAGGTTACTTCTTCAATGATATTGGATTTTATTTATTCTTCAACTATGTTATTGTATCGATTAAGTAGCAGTTGTTAATGTCTTCAATCTCTCAAGGTAAAAACCATAATTATCATTTAGGATAACATTTGAATCTTTCCTAAGTCAAGATGCTTGATATTTTCCATTTTGTTTAATAATAGTTTCTTTGAAGTGCTCAGCGTCTGTTCGTCATTATGAGTATTGGATTGTTCCTGAATGTCTATGAGTTCTAATTTCCAGAAATGGTTTGGTTCTGAACAGACGTGATATCAAATTTGATTTGGTCTTTGTCATAATTAGATATATCCATTTCCAATTATTATAAAACCAACCTTTGTGGGGATTGTATAGAATCCTGATACCATATTGTAGCTTTGGTTTGGCGATATGAAATTAAAAAACTAGTCAGCCCAATAAATATATCAAACCTTTTCCAATATCCTCTTTCCTCATCTAGCAATTCTTGAGATATCATACGTGGCAAATCATGGTGGCTCTATTTAACTACTTGTAGTTTTTCTATTAGGCGATCTAACCGTAAGCATTAATAGGTATACTTTTAGATTCCGAAGTTCTTACTCCTTTTTCCACTTTTGTAATCTGACATGATTTTGGAGTTTTGTTACTAAATGAGAAGAATTTCAAATCAAGATTTCCTTTACTGGAACCTATTAATTGCATAAATTTCTTGGACAACGTCCTACTATGAGAAACTTTACGGTGGAAACAAGGAAGTTTCCCTTTTTTGCAATCACTTGTTGCAATTCTTTCGAAAACATTTGAAACATGTGACAATTCCCCTCAAACGTTCCATACGGAGCTTAAGCCTGAGATAAATGTTACATTCATTATTCCAATGGTCCTTGTTGCTGCTATTTTTTCCCCTCAGATGAATTTCCTTTAATTCTGGGACTTCAATTATGGATGATTTGGTTGAAAAAAAATGTCATCCTTAACATTATGTTTAATTAGTTTCTTTTATGGATCGACCATCTTGTTGATTTCGACTTTACTTGGTACATCTTGTCCAATATCCAAACCGGTAGTTTATTTTCAATTGTAATTTCGATACTTTGATCTTTGAACTTCTCAGCAATGGCTTCCAATTATCGAAATAATCTTTCTATTGCTTCAGTAATTGCTTTCCAGTCACGATCATTTCTTCTGATGGAATGTATTTCATTCTAAATTGATTCTTTATAATGAAAGTTTTATCATACTTCTTTGCAAATATGACTTCGTAGTAATACTTTAAGACAAAACATCAGATAGTTTAGTTTCTGAATATTTGGAAATGTTTTGATCATGAACTGCTGCACTGAATCAATCACCACTAAATGCTATTAGTGTAGGTTTACTGTTGCGTTATTGGTGGAGACCACTTTTCCATTTGAGGTTGACTATCCGATATTTTCTTTACTTGATCCTTGGTATTATTTACTACTTCACAATTCTTCCTATACATTTGCAAAGTTCTCTTGTATTAGTTATTAAATTCTTTTGCATTAGTTGTCAATAGTTTAATTTCTGAATGTCTGGGATCTTACATTAGCTATTAAATTTAAGTTAATTAAAATTTAACTATAACAATCAAGACGTCAAATAATTTTTTTGATGATTCGCAATTTGATTTTGCATTACTTTAAGTTCTCGTGGAAGCGTTCGATCCAGTGAAGCTACGTTTACTTACTCAGAAGTTTTCGGGTCTTTTTAGTATTTCGGCTTCTTTCATCAAAACCAAACAACGATTGTAGCTTCGAATAATTATTACTTTGCAGAGAAGATGACATTTGAAAAATGTTTATTTCAATGAGATAAAAAATACCATTGACCATAGTTATAGAACAATATTAGGAGAGCAGTGAATGACAGATTGTTATCTAGAAAACTTAACCTCGATAAAAGGATATAATTCCTTATACAGTGAGCATTAACTGATAACAAGACGCATGATTTGAAATGTCGCAAAGGAGGTCAGCTAAATGATGCCAAATTCGAGTATAATTTATAGTTAGTAAGGAACCGACAAACAAAAGAGGTCAACTAAATGAGGAGCTGATCCAGCAGGTGTTCTTTGTTAACAGACAATGCAAGTTAAGTAACAATGTAAATAAACTCAGCTATATGAATGATGAATATTGGATAAATGATTTCTTACGTGACACTGAGACATTTGTCCAAGGAATGTTCAGACAAGACAGTCTTTAATTCTATGGATTTAATATAATTTTATTTATACGTATCATAATTGGTTTTTCCACCATCCACAGATTCACATTCAAAATCTACAACCGTTAACTTCTTTTATGAAGGTAGATCCACAACCATTGTGTCTTTTGGACTTGTTTCTGATTCTGTTTGATTCTATACAAGTCTTCTTATCAAACTAAATTTTTTTTTATATAGTAATTTTCTATATTTACGTGCTTGTGAATTTTATATTCCATGCTAATATTGTGTTGTACAGAGTTGCATAATAGGCTGGAATAAGAAAAAAAGGAAGAACTATGATTTGCTACGAATTTTTATCAAACAATTTTAGGAAGGAAAAGAAATTTTTATTTTCTATTTTCTCAGTCCACTGCTTTTTTAAATGTTAATATTTGTATCTTTTATACAGTTTTTCGAGTCATGAAGAGCCCATTACGTTTGAATGACACATTTCTCCTCACAGTATTCTACTCACATCAAACAATGCTGTAAAAATTGAGCGAATTAGGAAAAGTTTTGCTTAATCCATCATGTTTAATTAGCCTCTCTTCAAATCACTTAAAAGGGCGATGTTTTCACATACAGTAGGACGCAGAAAATGGCTTTAAACAGTTCGAATCCCGGAACAAGATCTTTAATTGACCTGTCGTCAACGAAAATACATTGATTATCGTGATCGTGATTAATAATATGCCTGATTTTCTTCCTCATTATCCCTAAGCAAGATAATTTAATATACGACATTTTAAAGCCAGTATTGAGTGAATGGATGGATATACTGGAAATCCACGATATCACATTTTAGACAACATTGCGCTAGTATTTGGTAGATTAAAATTGATTCTCAAACTATTCGAACTATTAAACTCAGTCACTGTAGGAAGATGCCCAAAGACATCTGAAAAAGCAATGAAGTTCAAGATTATTCTTTTTAGGATTATCTTGAAGTTAAGTAAATTTACTAACAGCTCATTTCAGAATGTGAGTACAATCCAATGATCATTTTATCCCAGCCTTTATCGTGACCAAATAAAATGTCAAAGGAAAAAGAAAAGTAGAATTATTATAGTTATATTCGAACATAACAGAAGTGGCTTGTAAAAAGAGATGAATTTTGTTCGCTTTTCATTTGTTACAATAAGAAATACTCCACAGTTGTTCTTCTGAGGGAATATTTATCGATGATGACTGCACCATAACAAGCAAAATCGAAGCAAGTGACGAATTTCACTAACTCTGGATGGCCAGATAACAGTCTTTCGTAATCAACAAGTTCTATCAACGTTTTCTTCCCAATGGCCTTCGCACAACAAGATAATATGTAGGAAAAACAACTATCAAAACTAATTTCTGATTCATTCTGAAAACGATATACATCGACTGGAAATGACGGAGTGCGCCGATGACGGTATATGAAACGATGCAATGTTTTACGAACTAGTCGTGTGAAATCATACAACAATATTTGATAAACGAAGCATTAATGGATTATTCCGCATGATGCAAAAGCTGTAGAGAGAGATAAAAATCTTTATCGCTATTATTTTATGTTAATTTCCTTCTCTTTGTTGAAATTGTTTAAAAAAAAAAAAAAAAAAAAAGAGAAATTCTGCATCAAAAAATGTTTGTTCCTTCGTTTTGTTAAGTATGTCCGTTGATATGTTTCTCAGTGGTACATCGGTCACTCTTCTAGAGAATGATTTTTCTGCTTCGTTTTCTTTTTTCATTCATTGAAATTCGTTTTTGTGATAACGTTGATAGAACTTGTTGATTGCGAAAGACTGTCATCTGGCAGCCAGAGTTAATGGAATTCGTCACTTGCTTCGATTTTGCTTAAGATAATCTTGTTATGGTGCAGTCATCATCGATAAATATTCCCTCAGAAGAACAACTGTGGAGTATTTCTTATTGTAACAAATAAAAAGAGAACAAATACGTCATATCATTGTACCGTCTGAGCCTTTTATTTATTTTCATGTTCCCATTATTTTAGGTATAAGTTCAAAATCCGAAAATGAAGAGTAAAGTAGTGAAGGATATCATACTGATTGGTCATTCATTCATTTATTTGGCGGCATTGGCTTCTCTCTATTGGCAGATACCAGGTATAAGTTTGTGCAGCTTCTTGGGGATAATTTCTGCACTCTATTTCGTCGCTTTTTTCAGAAGTTATTGAGGAACTTTTGACTTCTTTTTTCTGTTCATCTCCCACGAAAGAAAAGTTACTTCATTTTATTTTTTGAAGCTTCCCTCTAAGTTGTAAATTTGTAAAATTTTCCAGGGCTTTATGGAGAAAAAGGACTGATTCCAGTGGCATCGAAACTTTCTTGTGGTAGGTTTTTATTAAGGTTGCAAGTTTTTCTTGGAGGAAAGTTTAGCTGTCGGAACTTTTATTCTGGTTGTCTTCCAAAATTCATTGTAACTGATTTATTACTGTATGTTGCATAGCATGAAAATAAGTTATTAATCTAATTATATTCTCTTCACCTTCAAAAGCATGTTTTCCTTCTTTTTATGGATAGAAAGGACTGATTCATTGTAATTTGTTTACTGGTGACACTAATTGCTAGTCCTCTTTTTTTCTCAGAAATATTACTTTACAAGCCATAATAATTTTGCTAGATGACTGCATTTTTTCACATTCTCAAAGATCTACTAGTACAGTATAGGCCGTCACCTCTCATAATATCAACTAGAATTATATTAGCAGTAGCTGGAGCCTCGACGTAAACTTTTACCCACTAAACATGATGAAAATGAACCGGAAACTCAACCAAAAAACATAAGCTTAACAACAATACAAATCCATAAGAACGAAAAATCCTTTCATCCTTGTATATCGTTGAAGTGCACTGTTATTCTCTTAAGCTGCCTTCTTTGTGATTCTGGCTTAATACTTGGAGCAACTAAAATCTTCACGTATGCTAAATCAAGTTCAGATGATCCAAGAAAGATAATTTGAAAGCAATATATGCTTTTCAGACAAATCATCATGTCAGTCATATCGAAATGGTGTGAATATTTTGCCAATTGTGATAAATTTCTTCTGCATAGCACCATCCTATGCTTTACAAATTGTTGTTCTGTTCGGAATAGCGGTTGCTTCCCTCTCCATAATGTTCGAGTTAGCGCGTAATACCATCTCATATCTTCTTTTATTTGTTGTTTATTCTACTGCAGTTCAGGTTAATATTTAACTTACATTAAAGAAGTGTCAATGTATTACTTTCACAATAGATTTGTTTACAGTTAAGAATTACGCATGTCAGTTCATTTTACTCGGGTTTTATAATAATTAAGTCGCATCAGTGATTCATCCTGAACAATCAAAATTCTGTATAGATTCTACAGGTTGGCGATGTATTTCTCCAATTCCAATGGGACAGTCTTCTTATTGAGTCTGGAGCAATATGTATTCTCATAGCACCGTTACCTTTCGTGGGACCTTCACCAGCAGATAACATTTCGTTGTACCTGATGCGCTGGTTGCTGTTCCGACTTATGTATGCATCAGGTGTCGTAAAACTCACCAGCCGTTGTCCTCTTTGGTGGAATCTCGCAGGTATGTTTCGTGAAAATACTTTTTGTTCAAGTGGAAACAAGTGCAAGAAATAATTCAGAGATATTCATAGCATTGGACGTACATTTCGAATGTCAATGTGTGCCCACATGGATTTCTTACTATGTTCATATGGCCCCAAAATGGTTCAAGCATTTGTCAACTGCTCTCACACTCTATATTGAAATTATTTTACCTCCTTTGTTTTTATTACCATTCAAATATGCACGATATTTTTCATTCGGTCCTCAGGTTTGCTTAGAAAAATTTTTTGCCATTTATTTAATTTAATTTCCATCAGAAATTTCTTTGCTTTAAAGATCTTACTTATGAGTTTGATTATGGCAACGGGTAACTACAACTTCTTCAACCTTCTTATATCAGTCGAATGTGTAGCAGTATTGGTAGATTCAGACGAATTCAAATTTTGTAAGTATTTGATTTCCATAGTTTCGATATAAAGTTGATAATGAACAGTAATAGCAAAGAATTGGTATAATTTTCAGCATTATAATAGTTTTTAAAATGTGTCTCCAAATTCGAATGTCATAATTAGGTCATTCGAATCACTGATATGAATAGAATGGTTTGGATAAGTAAAAGATGTTATTTTGTTTGTTAATTATTTTTGTTCTTCAATTATTGTTTTATATTTGCTTATAAGCTCAGTTTTCAGCTACAAAGGGCATATACCCACGATTTCAACGTTTATCGACACATTTAGGAACAATAATGTCAGCTGTTTTGATAGCATCAACTTTATATTTTTTCGTCTACTATTTTAATATTGATATTGATGGTTTTAAAATAACGTCTTCAATTGGTGAGTCTTTGTTTTTTTTATTTTTTGTATAAAATTAACGAATTTTATCAAGCTATGGTAATATAAACTCTCTAGGTAAAATTACTGAAAATCTAGAGCTTTTTAGGATTCACTATGCAACAGTTTGACGAATTTGTTGAAGAGTCGACTGTTTGGTTATTACATATCGGAGTTATTGGCTTCCTTGCTGAAGTTATTGCCGCAATACTGCGGTAGGTTATCTTGAATTCTGTTATCAAGCATAATTACATAAACTGATAATCATTTCTAAATTTCCTGAAACTCAGGTACTTCACTGAAATTCATGAATCAAAGTTACGTTCATTACTCCATCTGGTTTATGTAATCATCATTGCGAGTTTCTTCTTTTCAATCAGTACCGTACGTTCTACATTTCAATCATTTTACTGGGATATACATTGAAAACTCATCAAAAATTTTGTGGTCTTTATATTTTGAAGTTTCAAAAACAGTTGTGATTTTTTCTCAGGCATACAAGATTCCATATGTTATTATTTATTATTATTTTTAGCATTAGTAGTTTCATAATATGGCAGTTTTATTATTTCAATACCTATGGATTCAGGTATCATTTGTTGTTATAAGTAATCGGGGACAAGCACAAATTCCTACTGTTGTAAAGTATATGCACCATTATTCGGAGTTTTACGAATTGACTCATTCATACGGATTATTTAGAAAGTGAGCCGCCTTTCCCAGTTTGATTTTAATCAACAAAAGCATTTTATATCATTTTTCGTTTAATTATGCGAAAACTTTAAATGAAATGTAATTGCAGGATGACCGGTTTATCCGGTCGACCGGAAATAATCTTAGAAGGTTCTTACGAACTGAATGGCCCTTGGACTATGTTTGATTTCTATTCAAAGCCTGGAAAACTCAACGAAAGACCACGATTCGTATGTGAGAGATTTATATGATTTTTTAGTAATATAGTTCTTTGCTCTTGAGGTCAGGTATTGTTTTCTGTTTGAATTGAAAAAAGGATATTCTAAAAGCCTAATACTGAACATTGATTTCGCTGTGAAAACTTTCAAATACGATCTTAATTATGAGTTATTACAGCTCACAATTTGCGTAACAAACAGATGATGACAGTTTTCTTTTATAGTGCCGCATCAACCACGTTTGGACTGGCAAATGTGGTTTGCTGCTTTAGGAACGTATGATAATAACGCATTCTTTCTTTCTCTTACTTATCACTTGTTACGAAATAATTCAGAAGGTGAAATACTCCTTTTTTTTTTTTTTAATTTGAAAAAAACACAATCGAGTATAGAGCACAAATTAAAATTAAAGTTATTGGTTATAGTTTTATGTATAGTTTTCGGTCTGTCATATTTTCTCGTACTTCGTTAGATATTATGAACTGCGATTTTATTAGGACCAATAAAAAGTTTTTCAGTTACTTACCTCATGAAAAAGTATCCTTTTGAAGAGAAGCTCCCAAAATTTATCCGAGCAGATCTTTACCTTTATCATTATACCACTATCAGTTTGAAGTAAGTTATATTTTATTGATGTTTTTATGCGAAGTTCTCTTCGAATGTTTCACAGTGATTTTACCGCAGGAATAAGTGGCCTAAAGACTATTGGCGACGTGATTTCCAGCAAGAATACATGCCCTCTATTACTCGTGAAGATGCAAAATTATCCGACTATTTGTACCAAAATGGTTTCGTCCTTGACGTAAGTTCTCACGCATTTTTTTGCGGTAAATTTTGAAGCCTGTTTGACGAAACAAGTTGGGATATTTTCTGCATTGCAACTTTATTTCAGAAACAGTTTATATTAATGAACCAGGATTTTAACCTGGAAAACAAATTGCGAACTCTGCATGACCTTGTACGAACATTCAACCCGACCACATTTGTTGATTCAGTTATTCTGGCCCATGTAGTTTTATTTGTAGTGTATATCAAATTCAGAAAAGTTACAGTTATTACCAATACAGTGATTTTGTAGCAAAGTCATCCGTCATGGATTGAGCTGCATTGTGTGATGTCATATGTTCATGAATAATCACGTTATGCTATATGATACGCGCTAATTGTTGAGTTGACAAATTGTCGAAATCTTAGTTAATACGACTGCATGCTTGTTCAGTGACTAGAATTTTTTGGCATCATCGGAATCATTATTGGAGTTATCACTTTGTGACCGCTGTTTAATGAGTTCTGAAATTCATTGAACCGAATATTGCTAGCCAATGATATATGTCTGTAAGATAAAAATGTACATCATTAATTAGTGCAGAATGTTACTGGAAGCATGAAAATTCTTTAAATATGGTTGTGACAAAATGTAAAACGACTCGAGGTTTGGTTTCGACCTTTAGATGATCTAATTTAAGATGTGCAGGAAGTTATCCAGTTGTCTTATTTAGTGGTTGATCCTATCACTGTCGTGATTTATAGTGAAGTCACTAGAGCAATCAATAACTTCGATATTTCCGTCGTCCTTTATCATCGTTATGTATCAGACGCTTAGTTCTGGTAATGATTGTGACAAAAAGTGGTGATTAATACAGGGTTACATTTTAATGTATTTTAAGCTTATTATGCTGTCATTTCTTTCACAGTTATTCAAATGAATTTCCTCTGTACCAATAAGTTCTGTAATAAATTCATAAATCATATATCAAAAAGGATTAAACTGATGTTAACTTGAAGTGTTTCATTATAATTCTGAGGTGTATAGCACTGTGGATGGACGATGTTAATATCAAGTTGATGGAAAGAAGAACTGTCCTAATGAAGTTTTGTGAAAAAATGGGATAAGATTTGCAAAAAAAAAGGATGATGGGAAGGATTCAGAGACTTTTACTGGTTAGACAGTCATGTAATCATGTATTTCTACTTTAGCGGAAAATTTTTTTTGAATAATAAAATGCTGTCTTCTGACTGTTACTTTTCCAACGTATTATTTTTATAGCCTCTTTACTGATCCTTTGATGAACTTTGCACAAAACAAGTCCGCTGGTTTATACTCATTTTTCTTATTTGTATTTAGTCATCCTTTCAATCCATATCCTTCGTGATGCTTCTTTTTCAAGCATTAATTTGTTTACTGGGTATACTTATTTACAATTTACTTCGGTTATGCTTTAAAGTAGCAATTTTTGAGGAAGAATTTACACCGTTTACTATTGGAAAACGCCCAATACTCACAATGTCAAATATTACAGTTTTCGAACTGAACTACAGGAGTACATAGAGAAATGAACGGTACTTGTCATTAGGCACTAGATATATATTCGTACGACTGGAACTGTAATTGAAAATTAGAATCAAAATAAAAGTGAAGGATATCCCTATTCAGTAATCTTTCAAGTTCGCCTCTATTGTCATTTCTTACTTTTGTATTATAGTATAGTGATACATTACTATAATATGGAGACTATTTAAGACACGCGAAATTAAGAATATGACATTTTACATCAAATAAAGAAATGATCAAGGAGTCTAAGTGGCTGTGAGAAGTCCAAACAAAAATTTGTAATAGAGAGCATTATCAAAAGTTTTATACTTGATCGATCTGTTTAACACTAACTGCAATTCAGGATGGTAATTGGATACGGGACTAAAATTTAGACATGAAATTCATAAAGAGATCTGACGGGTAGGGACAATAACGTACGTCTAAGAAATGCAAAGTGAAGCGGTACTAAGAAGTAATGTGGAGATAGCAATTGCATTTGGGGGCCGTGTTATTAAATGGAGATATATGATGTTCGTGGTGTCGGAGGTAGTACAGTTGTTCATCACATAGTTTTATTACATGTGGTGCAGTGAAGTTGTTTCTTTCTGATTGTTCACATTTGTAATGCATGGAATTTTTAAATGAATCCATCGGGATAATTAGGAGAGTCAGTAGTCGTCATTTTTATGAACTATGTACTTTAGGCGAAATCGCAAACTAATTTCATGTTAATGGTTGGGCTTCAGGTGTTTAAATAGCTATGGAGAAATTGATGAGAGTGTTTAATCATAGATAATAAAAAGTTTTAAAAATTTAGATAGTTCAGATAACGGCGCTATTGACTAATATATGAGTAAAATGGAGCGTTATGAGTCTTGGGCTAGATTATGCATGTGAGGATAATGTTTCGAATTGTTGCAGTGAAGAAACAGTATACATTATATTTAAATATGGAATAAATGATGCATAAGCTTTCCTTTTGTCACCTTTTTGCTGATTCAAAACTGACAACGGTTAGACATAATGGAACTGATCATTATAATTGCAGAAACTTTACGGATATCACTGAATTGGTTAAGACACTGATGGATATGACATCCAATGCTGTGCAGCCCTGGTGAATGTATTTGTATTTCAGGTGGTACTCCTTCCTTATTTTCTAACTTGTTAAATGTTAATAATTGATAATTGTTTGACCATTTTAAGTCTTTAACTTGGTCGTTTTGCAGTTCATAAAAAACTGGTCATCAAAGTGCTGAGAATTTGGAGAGATTTTCAACGGTACTTTAAGTGTTGCATAAAAACTGTTATCATTTTTCAGACAGTGCTAATTGCAACAGTGATTTGGTTACGCAGAAAAGCATTGCTAAAGGTGGACATTAACTTGAAAATAGTTCTTTTTTCTCAAGCTTTGTCTAGTGAACAAAATAAAATTAGTAACAGCGTATAGGATTTATAGGTTTGGGATGTGACAAATGGGCAGGAAAGTTTTGCAGAAAATTTATTGATAATTTGAATATGCGCTCACTCCTTTCATCGCTTGTGTTGTCTATACTATTACTGAATTTCGATGCCTTCTGGTATGCCTTAAATCTCTCTCATTAAGTATTGAAATTTCATCTACAGCCCTGACTTTTTTTCTGTTAGCGTTTTAGTAATTCGAATGGTCAGTTAAGTCAGCGAGAATCATTTCCACCAAGACCGTTTTTTCCACCCAGTTCGAAGAAATATCTTGTTGACTATTATACTGGTAATGATGCCGAACCACAGGATCTGTTATATAAATCTGAAATTGTTGTTGTTATGTATTATGCACCGTGGAGCAGAAGATGCACCAAAACACGCGTAGTTTTCGAGAAAGTTGCGAGAAGTTTAAGCTCGTCTTCTGATGTTAGCTTTTTTGTTACTCCTAATATTTCCTTATTTACATGTTTTAAAGCAACCGAACTTTGCAACATTGCTGTTAACTTTTTCTTTGCTGGGAATGTGAATTAAGAGAGTTACATCAACAAGAAAAGCTTTTTACTATGTCAGTTCGGCACAGTTATCACTTTTTATTTGTTTTCTTTTTTAGGTCTTAGAAATAGGGTTGGCAGATCTGTTCGGTCATTAAATATTTAATCATTATTTTGCATATTAAAAACTAGGGTCTAATTTATGCCTTTGAAAAAATTTTCGGAAAAAAAATTTGAACTTTAAAATTTTATCACTGTATGAAAATTTCTTAATATTTTTGTGTAGATATCATTCGCAGCAGTTAATTGTTTTTTTCCCCATGGGGAATGCAGAAAATCTCACAAAACCTACACATATCCAGTCATTGTTGCTTATATCGGAAAGCAAAATTTGATGTATACTGGTTTACTGGCACCAGATTATATATACAGGTAAAAAAATTTTAACCTCTATCATTTTTGTTTGCTGTAATCTTCTGCTATGCGAAACTGTTCGAATATTTATTATTTTAGATGGATATCACATTTGCGAAACCCTATTCGTCGACTTATAAGTCCGGTCGCTGTGAATAGCTTTCTTGACGAATTTGATGATGCAGTCATTGCATTTTTCCATGCAGAGGTCAATTTTTTCAAAATTTTAAACTTTCATCTCTTTTTTTATAGTAAATTAGTAAGAACTCTCATACTTTTCTTTCAGGTCGCATTTGCTGTATCATATGAATTTCAGCAGTATATTAAAGCAGCATTAATTGTTTTCCAACGTCGTATGTTTCCTTATGTCAGGGAAAAATTATCTCTAGATTTTTACTGATTTGTAACTCCGTGCAGATTTCCTAAATTTTGGTTCTCTTTTCCTCATGATTAAAACCGATTGCCTCTTTCTGACTATTTTGAAATCAGGTTCCATTTTCTTTTGAGTTTCATGAATTTGAGTATGAAAGTTTTATCAAGAAAAATCCCAATTTATTCTGATGAATTTTTCCTTTAGTAGAGTTCCTTAATACCGATTTGAATATCCGTATTTTTCATATCTGATGCTTAGTTACAGAAAGAGTTGTGTTGGAACTGCACATTTTTACACGTAACATTAATGGAATATTTGCAGAGAATTTGCTCGATAAGGTTGGTTTCGCCATTGTGACAAATTCGAGCTTAGCAATGAGCTTAAATTCGTCACCGAGGATGTGGATTCAGCTGAGATCCTGGAACTTTACTTTCAACTATAATGGATCAAATATGACTGCTTATAAAATTTTCGACTGGATCAAAAACCAAGTGCGTAAATCAAATAGCCTTCAGTGGATTAGTCCAGGTTATGATCTATCGTTACGCTTTTGTTTCAAACTTAGAGAACTCGTGGTGGTCATTTTTCAAAGTTTCTTGTTTCAGAAATGAATGGTATTGCAAAAAGTGAAGAATTGTTATCTGTTTTGCAACATGATGCAACAGTTGTGATGTTTGTAGATCGTCAGGTACTTTACCCTCACAGCTGGGCAATTTCAGTGATGAGACAGGTATTTGAAATTTAATGAATCTTGAAGAAGTATTATTAAAACCTTTGTTGTGAGCTTCAAATCTGTTATTACTTGCAAAACATCATTTCATCAACACACTGTATGTTTTGATCTGAAAAGGAAGGTATTGATATTTCTTGGCTCCGTGCTAATGATTTATGAATTGATAATGACTCCTTTTTTTCAATTAAACGAAAAAAAGGGATAGAAACAAAAAGAAAAGGGTTTTGGAGGATAAGTTTGTTATTATTAGCAATATTTTGTTCCCGGATTCTACCTGGTTCTTCAGTTTGACAGCTATGCTGTAATCGGAGTGGGATGTTACTAATTCGAGAAGTGTCAACTGAGCCGTTCTTCATGATATTTTTTTTTAGACCATTATGGAATATTATGCATGTGGTGCAAACTTAACAAATCAAATGAAATCTAGATCATACAAACTTGATGCATTGCTTAATGAAACTAATCGAATAATTGCAGTAAGCAATCATAAATGCCAGAAAATGGATGTTCGTGCTGTGGAGGTATCTTATCTTCATTGGTATTTATGAATTTCCATTTCTTTATCCGGAAATGTATTTCTTTGATTTTTAAGGTTTCATTGATTGATTGATTTTTAAGGTTTCATTGATTGACTCATTCGAGATGCAAACCCTTTTAGATTCGAAAATGCTGCATGACAGAGAAAACTTCTTTGACGTCTCATTGTTTCCAGTGTCACTCCAAAGAAGGAATCAATTTTTCGGAAAATGGAAGTTGCAGTCAACTTCCATTATTCTTTTATAATACTTACTCGTCACTGTTTCATAATGTGCCTTGTTTATCCGTCCTTTCGGCATTAGGTGAAGGTTTGTTCTGCTCAGATTATTTTATCAGCGGATGCAACGTGTCACACTGCATTTATGTTTTTATTCGTTGTAGTCAATATTCAAAAAACCGCCTGCATTTTAAAGGGTTTCGGAATTACAAGATCTTGAAAAAAGGAATAAGATATATTTTCAGAGCAACTGTTGAGTGATTGCTGTGCATTTTTAATTTCAAAAAATCAAAAACTGGATGTGTTACAAGGCACATCTGAACAATGTGCTAAATATAGGCTTGCTCGGAATCTTTATAATCGTATTTCTGACTCAGCCTTATCTACTTCTTACCCGTTTGATGCAACATCGGTTACGGGCCTTTCATGTGATAAAAATAATTCTCTACGGTTGGTGGGTTATCACTTCATTTTCTTCTGTTGAAAAGCTTATTTTCCTTAGACTTTGGTTATTTATTTTCAGTGCATTTTGTTTCTTATCCATGCTTACTGGTTGGAACTTACATTTGAAGAATATTGTTTAGTTATGACGTTTTTAAAAGGTCGGTTGGTTTCAGTGGTTCTTACATAGCTTAAATTAGCTTTGAATGTATTGTCAAAAACTCAGGTTTGTTGGTGTTGATGGTCGGCATGGTGATTATATACTAAAGCGATTGAGGAAACCATACAATGGACAGATTGCCGCGCTGATTGTAGACCCTGGTACTGAAATGACTTTTTTTATGCGAAACGAGTTTTCCAGGTAGGATAATCTCTAACGCTCCATTACATTTATTTGCTGTTTAAATTTGTTGTGTATAATGACCTGACCATTATTATTTTGCATCTCATTCCTAGTACTTCTAATATTCAGTAATTATGGTAAGGTCAATATGGTAATTTTGTTATTTATGTTTACATTTTCTGAAGATTTTTAGGCATATTTTTCGTGACTTTTTACGCGCATTTCACAATGGCTCATTGGTACCGCACGTGATTTCCGAGGCTTCACAGAAGGAACCGAACATTTCGAAACATGATGATTTGTCTATTTTACCGAATTCTACTGCAGAATCGTTTAGAAGGGATATTGTGAGCATATTAGACTCTTTTCTTCTTTTATTATACTAGTTTTTAATTTCGCACGAAGTTCTTTTTTTATAAACTTAGTTCAGAAGATGTCTTATTGGAAATGCTTTTTAAGCTGTCAATTGATTCTAAATAATTAAAAAAATATAGTACGTAGCGCACTTGTTGTTATTGTATTTAATATTTTAAAAATGTTGTGACATATTTTTTCAGAACTCGTCTGAGGATGCTGTAGTGTTTTTCTCTGGCGGAAATTGGCATGGACCGAGTGCTTCCGTAATTCATGTTTATCATTCAGTGGCCCACTACTTTCACCCATTTCCTAAATTGATTAAATTTTTCATGTATGGTTTATCATTCGTTTCCTTATGCACTTGAAATTGCTCCCAAACAAAGTTCTTCAAAAAAAAAAAATTTTTTTTTTTTTAGAATTGATGTTTCCTTAAACGATCTACCGTGGCAGTTTCAAATGGATACATTGCCTGCGGTTTTGTTTTTCCCTGCAGAAAGGTCAACAATTTTTTCGTATCAGAGTTATTGGTCAAAGCCTTCATAACTATAATTAATTAATTTATTTCGCCAGCGAATAATTTATTTACTTTTCAGGAAATCGTCTTCGTCACGGTTTCCAGCTTTAGTTCCACTTACGGTGCCAAATTTGATAGCGTTTATCGTGACGAGATGTCGAAGGGAGTTGCGTTGGCAGTTGGCCTTATTTTCTTGTTCTTTTTCGTCTTTATGCATTAAAAAGAACAACTTACGTTTACAAAAGATTGCTGTCATGATAAGGAACGATATCACATTATTGAAGTTGATTCAGTCTCCCAGCTACGAACATTCTCATCTTTTTCAACATTTAATACGAAGGTAATTTGCGGGATTTTGCCATGATCTAAACTTTTTAAGGTTTTGTGAAGGTGATATAAATAGCATGTACTTCTTTACTGTAATAACTTTGGAGCAATGTCACTTAATAAGAAATTTTTTAAAACATTTTTTCTGTTTTCCAGACGCTCTAAACAACTTCATTTCACACGGAAACTTCTGGAAATTGTGTCGATATCCAAATTCTCCTGATACCAGTCAAGGTAATATCTCAAAAATCCATTAAAAATTCAACATTTATTCCTAAATTTCTGCTCAACTTTGTGATTTGTCTGTAAAATTTTTCTTGTTCTTTGTATTGCGGGTACTTCGTCAGCTGACTGTTCATCATCACGATCTTGCATATTTGATATTTGGAAATCGAAGCTTATAAAATGTTTAGCTTCCGAATCTCCAATTTTTTTTCTCCTTGAATAAGAATTAAATGGCATCTTTTTCAACAAGTTTTTATTTCTATGTGCCTTGTAAGCTTTGGTCATGGCGAAAAAGTATTTAATAATTAGTAACTTTTAAAGCTTATGTTCACACTTTCAGCGAACCACTTTTTCCTGTCATTTTGAGTATAGTCCCGCTGTTTTTTAATTTGAATTTTTGTGATTGATATGTTTGCGATGTAATGTTTGGTTATGTACTGTAGATTTATTAATTATTGACTGGTACAGAGTGTAATGGGTAGGAAGGGAAAATAAAGGGGAAAGTAATAATTCTTTTTTGTGCACTTTATTAACGGATAACGATGTTCACTCAGTAAATTTGAAATCGCAGATACTGGATTTCAGTGTATTGCTAGTTGATTGTTTTTGCATTTCAGTTCTAGTGTGATCGAACTATATTTTATCCAGGATGATCATTCTGTTTTGTAAAAGTTTAATATGGATTAGGTTAGGTTACATTCAGTTGAGTATTTGTTTCGTTGCATTATCACACATTCTTTTGTCAGTATGGTTATAGACGCTTTGCATTAGTAAACTACAGTAACAGCTTTATATTTGCTTGATTTTATAAAATGTAAAGTCACTCACTAGTCGATGTCTCAAAGGAGAGTTAATTTTATTGAGCGGTCATTTGACACTATGTCTGGTATCGGGTTTTTCCAGCAAAGATATCTGAAAGTATCCATTCAACAGTAAATATTTTATTTCCGAAAAAAAAATGGTGTCTCCGATGAGGATGATTAGGATGTCTCTCTTATTATTTTCATGATATGGAAAGTTTCAATGAATAGAAAAAAACAATCGGGAGGAGCACAACAGTTCTTTAGTGCATCACATGGAAGTTTGTTACTCTGTTATGACTTCACGTTATTAAATATATTAGGTAGATGCCGTTGGCTACCCTCTTTAACTATAATTATGATAAAGTAAAAGGCAGCCATACACATGTGTATTAGTTTTTGCTTCCTTTGCTTTATTCCATTCATTTCCAAAAATTTATAGCATAGTTGGGGAAGGTGACAAAGTTGCGTTACAGTAGGTGGAAGATGGCATTGAAGACAAATAAAAGAAGTTTGCAAATGCGAATTAGGACAAAAGATGTCTCATATTTTCGCGAACTTCAAACAGTATAAAATATTGTTTGCATACATTAGCAAACATGTACAGACACAATTCCAAAACGGAGCAGATTGTTCGTCTGTTAGCAAGGGAAACATAGTTTAAGTTGTTCTCTTCCTAACTTTAATCCCTTCATTTTGCAAAATTTCGTCATTGTCTGGGAAAGAGCTTATACTGTTAGGAGTGTTTATCAAATCTCTTTGAAATAAATTCTCAATCTCTTAACGAATATATTTTTTGACATCTATTTTGAAGAGAGGCGTTGATAAGTTCACTGTTTGTTAATCGTGATGATTCAGTTGAGCGGTAGTGTATTACAGTGAAAGTGATGTCGACGGTGCTCGTCTGAAGGGATTAAAGTAATTCTGATTCTGATAAAACAAAGTGTCCTAGTTATTGTCTATTTGTTATTTCGATCATCAAATACGACCAATATGTAAGTCTAACCATTAAGATGATGCAGTAATATGTAGGTCTACGACTAGTAAACTCATTATCTTCCACTCCAAGACCAGTAGGATGATGTATTTGTTCCGTAATCATACTTTTTTACTATTGAATCAGTTCTCGTTTCCTAGTTGTATCAGGAAATAAGTAACCGCTTTCTGTGCACAACCCATTTTACTCTATTCTACTACTGCTACTACTCGCTGAGATATTATAATTCAATACAACAATGCAACCTAATGATGGTGCATTCTACTGGTATATAACTGTCTGTAATAATGCTATTGTATGTCTGGGATGAGGAAAGTAGGGAAAGTTGCGATAATGGTGACAGCAGGAGTAGTGGTGGCAGTGCTGCTGGAAGAGACGGTGATGTTGGCAGGGATGAGACTGAAATCGATTGGGGCTTTTTGTTGCTTCGAAGGAGTAGCTATAGTGGTGGCTAAAAACAGTGCATTTTTACTAAATGTATACTTTCGGGTAGTTTGAATGTTTGTGTATGTGTATGGGCGTATGTGCCTCATATGGATGTCGTCTAGTAGTGTGTGTCACTTTGTCGGTATGTCGTCGGAACAAACATAAGTAAAATGATATTTTTATAGGTTGTTGGAGCAGCAGCGAATAGTTGGAGAGGGGGTGGGGAGTGCATCATACATATACCGTCGGTACCGTGGATAATGGCTGTATCTCGAAAAGGAGCAGTAATTACATCAGGTGTGTGTATCTTACCGTTGGTGGCTCTGGTCTCAGCCATAGCTCACTATGGAGGGGATTGATGCAGCTTACACCTCTCCTTTTGTCCCTTATACTTCAATTTTAAAGATTGTGTTTTGAAAAGCGTTTTTTTCTATTGTATATATCCCACCATATATCATATATATGCGTGTATGTGTGGTAACGCCGTTGCCAGCTCCAACTCGGGTCTCGATCCAGAGTGAGTGGATATTAATCGGACAGCTTACACTCTCCACTTGTCCCGTTATAACCATTTCTGAGGATTGTCAATATGCTTAAACCTTTTTTCCTATTGTATATATTCCCAATATATATATATATGTATAATTCAGTCTTTACTTCCCATCCCTATGGTTTAACTCCATGCTTGCATTGCAACTTTTCAATAGTTGTAGCTAACCGTTTTATCTAGTAATTTGTTACTTACACGGGTACCATATATGAACATGATAGAACACATTCTTCATGTCATTTCCATTTCTCATATTTCCAACTCCTCATCCTTAAAGAAACTTTGATTTATACCTTTATAAGAGATTGCTTGTACTCTTTCTTCTATTCTATACAGCTGCATCTTAACGCATCCTTGAAAGTTGCTTGTTTGTATGTTTCTAGCGTTAAAACATGCAAATGTCTGCTTCAGTCAAAGGATTCATCAGATGGCCAAGAGGACTAATGCTTTATTAATCTGAAATGTATCAAATTCTTATTCATTTTCGTGAAAATATACAGTGTTTTGTGATAATGGCGCACTTATACACTGAATATATCGTTCTTTCTTTGGAAGGCTCACGATTTCATCCATGAAAGCAACACCGTCTAATCCATATTTTGGTCACGTTTTTGTTGACTGGCATTTCCCAATCTTTGACAAAACTTTGGAAAATACACTGTCTCATTAGTGCGGTATAGTTGCCGTGCTCAGGTTCACGTAGGTAGGCGGAGTCTCGTAACTTATTCAAAATGTCGGGTATTGTGAAATTTAGCGCCCTAAAAATCAGACATGTAGTGTGGTACATGGCAAAAGAAGGAGAGCTGTAAGTAATAGTGGTATGAGCATTAAATTTCAGAGGGAAGTGTAATGAAGGTGGCTTTTACTGATGCATTATGAACCATCCCCTAACAGTTTGTCACAACAGCTATATCGTATCCTTGTGTGACTTCATATATCATTCATCACTTCAAAACTGTCCACGTTCTCGCTGTATGATATTTTTTTTTAACCTACTGTTAGCAAACATTTCATGCTCGTTTTTTGAGTAAAGCCCTTCAGCATTTATCTTGGGATCCTTATTATATAGCCAACACAGAAAAGAGATATGTTCAGGAAGTGTACTATGGGGATTCATGTGAGATATCCTTTACATAGCTCTTATACAAATACACATACGCTTATAAATATGCGCTTGCTTGCCATATTGGTTATAGATTATACTTAGAATGTTTCCATAGGAATCATAAATTTAGTTATGCAGTCAGTCTTATTGTTTAGAAATGAGGTGTACACAGATCACAAGATTAATTTGAGGGTTCTGCCTTTAATAACCGATTTACTAATGAATAATCTCTTAAATACTCTTGATCCACAAAAAAAAGTACTCACTGATCTGGTATCGGCTAGATGCAGTCGGTGTTGTTTGTAACTGTAACGCATCAGTTTATTAAGTTATTAAATAGTTCTGAACATTACTTATGTTTTTAGAAAAACTCACTGGTAAAACTATTAGCCAAAAGGTACCAAGAAATGATATTTCACCGCAGTTTCGTTATCATTGCGACATCAAATATTTGAAAATATTTGTTCATCAGAAGATTTCTCACATTTTTTCACTGAGTTGAATTTAGTGGCAAAATTCTCGGTCTTAAACAAATCAGGTTTAAAGTTTCTTTACTAAATCATATGTAACAGCTACCGTATATTGTGGCATAAAATTGATTTTACTAGATATGCATTATGGAATTTTATGTTAAGTTATAGAATTGCAAAATGAACTTTTGCGGTTTTTTTAATAGCTTTCCCTAAAAATGTCTAAGATGGTAGTAGTAATGGAATCTGAAATAGTTCCGGGATCTCAACTCAATGCAGAAATCTAAGATCATTATATTTTGTATTCACAAATAGAGTAAGACATGCACTGCATGAGTATTGGTGAATGCAATGTGACAGATGGAGTGCAACTGTACTCTTTGGGCATAGATCATATACTGCAAAACAGTGTATTGTATTTTCATTTTTAGGAGCAAAGTCGATTAACTTAAGGAATGGAAAAGTGGTTATCCATGATTCGAAAATCGCATCTTGAACTTTGTATCATACATCATCTGGTGGACTTAAAGATGTTTTACCAGTTCGATTCCAGCAGAAAAAAAAAGTGCAAGTTAAACGACAGAGAATAATTTTCCCTGGGCATCTAATTGTGTTTCAGCCCTTGGGATTGACTTAGGATTGACCTATGAAAATATGTGGGCAGTGTATAAAAACAAGCTGTTCCTATATACCTCACACATATGGAAAAATGAGAACCGGAATACTATGGCATCTCCTGAAGAAACGAAACATGACCAAAACAAGAGCGACTATAATCAAACGGTGAAATAAATACATTTGGAAAGTGCATTTGTTTTGGAAGACTTACCAAGAAGTGGGAAACCCAGGAATTTCAGTTTTCGTTAGTTTAGTCATTTACCGGCAAAAACTAACATAATTCATTTTTCAGTTTTTTTTTTTTGCCATCTCAATTACAATTAAAATTATGCCTTTTATTTCCTAGCACTGAATGCTTAATTAGAAGTTTTAGTAAAACGGTATTGGTGTAGGTGTTGCTTTCATCGGGAGACTAATAATGCTCAGTGGTGACCGAGTGGAATTGTATCACTACAGGAGAATTCAAATATTCATGGAATTTCAGGTTTTTTCTTTTTTTTTAGAAATCACTTATATTTGAACATTAATAATTTCATTCGTCTCGCTTAGCAATATTTTTATGTCCGGTGATATTGGAATTGTACCTTCAAGCGGAACCCTGTGCAAGAGATGATTTGTCAATGATGCAAGTAGTTGCTGAGGAAACTTTGCGAGATCTCTGTTCAACCAACTTTTATCTGGTAATGAATAATCTACAAGTGTAATTAATGGAGACAATTTCATTTTTGGTCTGAAGTTTCATTCTCCAGTGAATTCTTAGGATGTTTTGTTGAAAGTCTTATGGTTTGAATGTCATTTGTTGGAGGCAAACGCGGTGATAGTTGGCTGTATCCAAACTCTGAGCTCTGTTTCGAAGCATTTCTGAGCTTTTTTTAGAAAAAAAGCTCTGCTGCTTGTGCTGACACCAAACGCGTGCTAGAGGCGGCTGCCTACATGGATGGAAGGTCGAAAGCAAAGCCCATTTGGTAGTTCTGCCTGCTCCTACCGCTTCCCCTCCTCGCCACACCATCAGCACCCTGCCTACTTCATGTATTGAATTTTTCACCGAGTTCACACCAGTTCGTTCTTCAAGGCAGGCCACTCCGAATGTCCCTTTCTCCTTCCCGGTCGATCCCCTGCACAACTAGTCACCCCACTACTACCTCCAAGCACACATACATACACACATGTATATATACGACACTCTGTCATACTCCGCTAAATTTCGAGCATTTCGCTTTTCTGCTGAAAGAATGGCTCCACCGCGATGCGTTTTGCGTGTTGTCGGTAGCAACAGCCCCGCTGAAAGAACACACATATACGCCATGTCGCACTCAGCTGACTTTCGGCCCTTCTCAGCTGATGTTTACATATTGTGATGCACTTCCACAGTCCTATCACATCCTCTACCCTCCTCTAATTCTGTTCACTTTATGCTGACAGTCTTTATCTATCTTTCTCTCAGTGCATGCCACCATTTTCTCGCAGGTTTGTTTGCTCAGCAAAAACTCATAGAGTTATTGTCGTTATTTGCATCTATATAAGCATGGGACATTACTCATTGTACGCTGTACAGACGGGTCAAAGGTCAGCTATGGAGTGTACCATTAGTTTGTATAAGCACGAGTGGAAAGAATCTCGATTCCGTAGTGCGTAATTTTACTGGGAGCAAATGATCAACACCACTTCAAGCTACACACAGTAATAGGTGTAATTACCGCGGTCAGGAGGTAGGTACTAATATACTGTTCCCCCATCAAAGCCTCAATAAATAAGGCAGGAAAGCTTGTCCCTAGCTAATAATATGACCCTAATCAATTCTTCTGTACGAAAGCGTCCACAATTACTGGAAATAACATATTAATCTTAAAACATAATTTCAAAGTTGCATCTTATGAGTTCATAACAACTATACATATGCACAGGTCACGTCGTGTATTTCATATCGACACCCACAACGCGTCGGTTTGCAGCTAGCGGCGATATGACAGTGTAGAGTTTTGAAATTAACAAAGTTTATTGGCAAGCAATATATATATATGGGTAGATTAGATGGATAAATAGATAAATAAATTCGATAGATTGGAGAGATAGATAGATAGATAGATAGATAGATAGATAGATAGATAGATAGATAGATAGATAGATAGATAGATAGATAGATAGATAGATAGATAGATAGATAGATAGATAGATAGATAGATAGATAGATAGATAGATAGATAGATATAGATAGATAGATAGATATAGATAGATAGATAGATAGATAGATAGATATAGATAGATAGATAGATAGATAGATAGATAGATATAGATAGATAGATAGATAGATAGATAGATAGATAGATAGATAGATATAGATAGATAGATAGATAGATAGATAGATAGATAGATAGATAGATATAGATAGATAGATAGATAGATGATAGAGATAGATAGATAGATAGTAGATAGATAGATAGATAGATAGATAGATAGATAGATAGATAGATAGAGATAGATAGATAGATAGATAGATAGATAGATAGATAGAGATATAGATAGATAATAGATAGATAATATAGATATAGAGATAGATAGATGATAGAATAGAAGATAGAATGATGATAGATAGATGATAGAGATAGATAGAAGATA